TGTTCCTAGTTTGCTGAATGATTTTATCATTAAGGGGTATTGGATTTTGTCGAAAAGCTTTTGTGCATCTGTTGAGATAACTGTGTAGTTGTTGTCCTTAATTCTATCAATATAATGTGTCACATTAGTTGACTTTTGGGTGTTAAGCCACCCCTGCATTCCTGGTATAAATCTCACTCAGTCGTGGTGTATAGTCCTTTTGATATGTTGCTGGATTCTGTTTGTTACTGTTTTGTTTAGGATTTTTGTGTTTATATTCACAAGGGATATTGGTCTGTAGTTTTCTTTTCTTGTGAGGTCTTTTGTTTTGGTGTCAGGGTAAAACTGACATTATTGTGGGGACGAGAATGACTTTATTTTAAATGCTAATCTGTCATGTAACTTCTTAAACCTGAGTCTGGGAATGACTCCAAAATGTGTAGTTGATGTGTTACTATCTATGTAGGAACACCTATTCATTGTAAATTTTGCCTTTCCTACAAAACAACCCTTGATGCTCTGGCATCCATCATAGGGTATGATCCCTGCACCCTTCTCTCAGCCACCTATACATTCCTTCCTGGCCATGTGTATATTTTTCCCCATTATATAAGCCAAGAGTCTGGGGGGCTGAGGTTCAGATATCTACCAGTCTTGCAGCTACCCAAGACCATGCTTCCATCTGTAAGTTCCCCCTAATAAATCACCCTAAACTGACAAACTGGATTTGTCTGGCTTCTTTGGCTTCTCGGCTTCTTCAGCATATGGGGGTCACTTTACATATATAGTACTTTCAGGCAACAATCACAGAATAAGGTAGAAGTGTTCTCTCCTATTTGTTGGAAGAGTTTGTGAAGGATTGGTAAATAATTCTTATTTCAATATTTGATAACATTCACCAATAAAGCCATCTGGTTCTAAGCTTTCCTTTGTGAGTTTTAGAGTTACGAATTTGAGCTCTTGTTTTATTTATTTATTTATTTTGAGACAGAGTCTTGCTCTGTCACCAGTGCAGTGTTGTAATTTTTTTTTTTTTTTTTTTTTGAGACGGAGTTTCGCTCTTTTTACCCAGGCTGGAGTGCAATGGCGCGATCTCGGCTCACCACAACCTCCGCCTCCTGGGTTCAGGCAATTCTCCTGCCTCAGCCTCCCGAGTAGCTGGGACTACAGGCACATGCCACCATGCCCAGCTAATTTTCTGTATTTTTAGTAGAGACGGGGTTTTACCTTATTGACCAGGATGGTCTCGATCTGTTGACCTCGTGATCCACCCACGTTGGCCTCCCAAAGTGCTGGGATTATAGGCGTGAGCCACCGCACCCAGCCCATTTCAAAGTATTTTCTAATTTTTCTTGTAGTATATCCTTTAACCTACTGACTATTTAAGGATGTGTTGTTTAATTTCTCTGTATTTGTGAATTTCCAAAAGTTAGTTCTGTTATTGATTTCTTCTTCTTTCTTTTTTTTTCTTTTTGTGACGAAGTTTCGCTCTTGTTACCCAGGCTGGAGTGCAATGGCGCGATCTTGGCTCATGGCAACCTCCGCTTCCTGGGTTCAGGCAATTCTCCTGCCTCAGCCTCCTGAGTAGCTGGGATTACAGGCACTCGCCACCATGCCCAGCTAATTTTTTGTATCTTTAGTAGAGACAGGTTTCACCATTTTGACCAGGATGGTCTCGATCTCTTAACCTCGTGATCCACCCGACTTGGCTTCCCGAAGTGCTGGGATTACAGGCTTGAGCCACCGCGCCTGGCCCTGTTATTGATTTCTAATTTAATTCTATTGTGGTTACAGAATATTCTTTGTATGATTGTGTACATCATGTACAATTTAGAAGAATGTATTATGTTTTGAGTGTTATTTGATGTCTGTTAGGTTTAGTAGGTTTATTACGTTTGCCAAGTCTTCTATATCCTTACTGATTATCTGCCTAATTTTTTGAAACCTGTAATTTTAACACAGGTGAGAGGATTGCTTGAGTCAGAGTCTATCTCTGTTGTCCAGACTGGAGTGCAGTGGAGTGATCATAGCTCACTATAACCTGGAACTCCTGGGCTCAAGTGATCTTCCCCTGTGCCCCAACAGCCTCCTGAGAAGCTAGGATTGCAGGCATGCACCACTGCACCTGGCTAATATAGTATCATTTGTGCAAATTTAAAATTTATTCATACAAAAATGCACAGGCTTCAGAAACACATATTACATTAGTTATCTATAGCTGTTTACTAAATTACCCCCAAACTTAAACAGCAATAAACACTTCTTATCTCTCTCTCTTTTTTTTTTTTTTTTTAATAAAGATGGGGTTTTACCACATTGGTCAGGCTGGTCTTGAGCTCCCGACCTCAGGTGATCTGCCTGCCTTGGCCTCCAAAGCTTGGATTACAGGCGTGAGCCACCACACCCGGCCAACATTTCTTATCTCATATGGCTTCTATGGTTTAGGAATTCTATGAATGAGAACAATTTAGCTGGGTGATCTTGGCTCAGGGTCTCTCATGGGTTGCACTCAACCCATTGGCCAGGGCTGCAGTCATCTGGGGGTTCAACTGGGGCTGGAGGATCCATTTCCGAGGTGACTCACTCCCGTGGTTGGCCAGTCTTGGTGGCTGTCAGTGAGAAGCCTCAGTTCCTCACCACGTGGGCCTCTCCACAGGACTGCTTGGATATCCTCATGATACCAGCTGGCTTCCCCCAGAGTGATCAATACAAGAGGGAGCAAGGGGGTAGTTACACTGTTTTTGTTTTTTATTTTTTTTTAGAGAGTCTCAGTCTGTTGCCCAGGCTGGAGTGCAGTGGTACAATCTCAGTTCACTGCAACTTCTGCCTCCTGGATTCAAACAATTCCTGCCTCAACCTCCTGAGTAGCTGAGACTATAGGCATGTACCACCATGTCCGGATAATTTTTGGGATTTTCTTGTTTGTTTGTTTGATTTTTGATATGGAGTTTCATTCTTCTGCCAATGCTGGTGAAGTGGTGTGATCTCAGCTCATTGCAACCTTGGCCCCCTGGGTTCAAGTGACTCTGAGCCTCCCAAGTAATTGGGATTATTGATGCCTGCCACCACACCTAATTTTTTTATTTTTAGTAGAGACAGGGTTTTGCCATGCTGGCCAGGTTGGTCTCGAACTCCTGACCTAGAGGTGATCCACCCACCTCGGCCTCCCAAAGTGCTAGGATTATAGGCATAAGCCACCACACTGGGCTGCTGCACTGTTTTTATTTTTTATTTTTTTTGAGACAGAGCCTTGCTCTGTCACCGAGGCTGGCATGCAATGGTGCCATCTTGGCTTACTGCAACTTCCACCTCCTGGGTTCAAACGATTCTCCTGCCTCAGCCTCCTGAGTAGCTGGGACTACAGGTGTGCACCACCACAATCAGCTAATTTTTGTATTTTTATTAGAGACAGGATTTCACCATGTTGGCCAGGCTGGTCTTGAACTCCTGACCTCATGATCCTCCCGCCTCGACTTCCCAAAGTTCTGAGACTGCAGGTGTTAGCCACCTCACCCAGCCTGCTGCACTGTTTTTATAACCTTGTTTCAGATGTTACACTGATGTTTCTGCCACATTCTGAATGTGAAGCAAGTCACTAGGTCTGGTCCACACTCAAGGGAGGGGGATTAGGCTTCTTCACCTTTTGAAGACAGGAGTGTCAAAGAATTTGTGTACATGTATTACAACCATCACACATACTAATAAAATAATATAAGCCTGGATGTGAGGGCTCACACCTACAGTCCCAGCACTTTTGGAGGCTGAGGCAGGAGGATTGTTTGAGGCCAGGAGCAATCCTCCTGCCTCAGCCTGGCCCAAGGCTGGCCCTCATGTCATTAAACAAAGGTCTGTCATTCTTTTTATTACTGCACATTATTTCATAGTACGAAGATACCAAAATTTATTGAATGACTTCCCTAAGGATGGATGCACAGGTTGTTTCTACTCATCTTTCTTCTTCCCTTTCTCTGTGGTGGGCTGTGTATCTTTCTCACTGTACATCCACCTTTTTCCTTCCTCTTTACTTATGTGGTCTCCCCTGGAGTTCAAGAATGGGGAACAAGGGACATGCAGGCTGGATCCGCCACAGGCAGAGGTCTCTCGAGGACAGCAGGGGCTGCTGTGGCAGGTTTGCTATCCCTTCAGCCCGCCTTCTCCTAACTAGCTCTTGGAGGATGAGATGCAGCTTAGGAACGCCATGGTTCTTGCCTTCAGAGACCTCAGGTCTAGCATGGGGACAGATGCAGAAGTACCCCATGGGAGGCAGGCTAGCATCGGGTGAGGGGTAGCCTTCCAAGTCCAGCTGATGGCTTGGGTTTCCATCCCACCCCATCACTTACCAGATGCTTGACACTGGGCAAGTTATTTCACCTTCCGGTAGCTCAGTTCCCATGTGTCTAAATTGAGTCTCTTTTTTTCTTAAAAGGTTGCTCTGAGAAGTAAATAAGATGCTTAGCATAGTGCCTGGCACACAGTAATCTATGAATATTGAACTGTTGGGAAACTGGCCAGGCTGTGGTGGTACCAATCACACAGGGACACATGGGCACTGGGCCCGCGGGATTTGAAGAAGTCTTCACCAATGAAAGGTGAAGACCTGCAGGATGGGCAGTACCTCCTGGTGGAGCTGGAGGAAGGTATTCTGGGGCATGGAAAGGTAAATGTAAATGCACTGAGTAGAAATGGGAGGCTTATTTGGGGCATGGCGAATAGAACCCTGTGGCTGGAAGGTCATGTTCACTGGCAAGGGGAGAGAAGGCCTTGCAGGGATGTATGCAGGCAGCCTTCTGGCGCAGAGGATGGAGGTTCGAGTCTTCTCCATGGACTTGAACTCCGAAGCTGAAGTCACCATGGAACCACTGTCGAGGTTAGGCATGGCCGGAAGGAAACTCCTTTCCCCGCCATCCTCCTGCCTTCTTCAGCATGGGCCTCCTCCCAAGGCTTGGCCACTCCCAGCATCCAGCACCCCCACTCCTCAGCCGGGTTGGGAGGCGGGCGGAGGCTTTTTGCGGGGGCTGTGCCTGGTGGGCGGTTTTCCCAGAGCAGGGAGCAAAGCAGGACTGAGCTGGCGCCAGCTTCCTCGGATGTAGACACTGCTGACTGGCTGGCCAGCCTGAGCCAGCTAGCTTGAGCCCAGGGCCTCCTCAGGCACTGTGTTTCTGCTCTCCGGCATGTCACAAAGGGAGGCCAGAGGGCCACCAGCCATGCCAGGGGTGGGGGATAGCCAGACTCAGGTCAAAGCACGGTTGCTACCAGGCACTGACAGGAAGAGGAGCCGCCACAGCAGGACAAGGCAGGACCCATGGGAAGAAAGAAGCTGGAGCAACCAGAAGTGGAGCAGAGCTGGTCCTGGCCCTCGAGGGGCCCGGTCTGGGAGCCTGGCTCTTGGCAGGGTAAGGAAATCCTGGATCTGCAGAGGAATCCAGGGGAGGAGGGGTTGGAGGGTGGGGAGACGTCACCTCCGATGGCAGAGCCTCACTCAGTAGGACCATTCCTGCCCAAGACAGGGGATGGTGGCCCCTTAGACTCCAAGGCACCATGCTTGGGGTGGATGGGACAGATCAGAGCTGGCCTTAACCAGAGTGCAGCTCAGAGAGCTGGACTAACTCACTTCTCTTGAGGAAACTGAGGCCCAGAAGAGGGATGTGGATTTCCCAAGGTCACTGAGCAGCAGCCAGTGGCAGGACTGGGACTTCCGCCTGTGTGCTTTGACCTCTGATTCTGTGTCTTTCCTCTTTCGCGCAGCAGCCTCGTCATCTCAGGACCTGTCTAGGTCAAGGGTCAGCCCTCCCAAATAGGGTGTAGCCCTGAACTCCCCCTGGCCCCAGCGCACCCTGATGAGCAGGATTCAGATTGGGCATGGGACAGGACAAAGGCTGTGAGGAGGCATGAGAGGAGTAGTAGAGAGAACACAGTGCTCTGGGTTCTGAGCCAAGCTCTGCCATGCTGCAGCCATCTGACTCCAGGCCAGGCCTTCCCCCAACTTCCTCAGCTGTAAAACGGGGTAGGGCTGAGGATGGCAAAGGCAAGCTGAGGCCCTCTGGTGCCTGCTGCCTGGCATCCTCCTACTCTGGTGGGAGACCATGCACTGGAATGCTCTCAGAAGTCAGGGCAGATGGGAGTCCAGGCCAGACGCACTCACTGGAGCCCTCTGTGCAGAGTGAGGCCAGTCCTGAGAACGCCGCGCGGGAGCGGAGCCGGGTCAGGACACTGCGCCAGGCCTTCTCGGCCTTGCAGGCTGCTCTGCCTGCTGTGCCACCCGACACCAAGCTCTCCAAGTTGGACGTGCTGGTGCTCGCCACCAGCTACATAGCCCACCTCACCCGCACGCTCGGCCACGAGTTGCCTGGCCCCGCCTGGCCACCCTTCCTGCGTGGACTCCGCTACTTGCACCCTCTCAAGGTAGGTCACAAGACCTGGGACTTGAGGGGCAGATCTTCGTGGCCAGGGCCTTGGAGAGAGGGCTTGGCATTACTTATTTTTGAGACAGGGACATTGGACTTGGTCCCCCTGCCCTGGGCAGAACTGACATCAGGGCCAATTTCTCCTGCTGTCTCAGAGGGAGAGGAGCCAAGACTGGCCCTTGGGGCTGCAATGACCCTGGGGTGGTGGCTGGACATGGCTTTATAGGAATGTACCTCCTCTAAGAGGAGAGAAAGACTCTGGGGTTCTTAGAGTCATGGGGAAAAAAGGAGCAGCTTCCAAGTCTGGGGCTCCTGGAAAGGAAATTCTACCAGGGAGAGTTCTAGATCCCCTTGCAGCTTCACCCCATTGTGCCTGCCTCGGTGTTCTCTGGGTTTCTGTTGCAGGAAAGATCTGCCTTCTAGGAGAGCAATGGTCTGAGAGACCATCATTCTAGAAGCAGCCAAGTAGGGGGTTAGCAGGGAGCAGCACTGGGAAGGCGTGCACCACTTGCCTTGCTGCAACCTAGCTTCCCTAAACCTCAGTTTTATTACACATAAAATAGAAGCTAACATGAGCCTGCTTCTCTTCCAGCATATAAAATGGAAAGTCTAATGAACATTAATCATCAGTACAATAACAACTAACAGCTGAGTGCTAAAGATAGGCCAGGAGCTGGGTTAAGTACTTACTTTAGTGTATTTTTGTCTTTTAATCCATGCAAAAACCAAATGAGGATTACTTTACAGATGAGGAAACTGAAACTTAGGACGGTTATGAGGCTGAACCTGGTTTGAACCCAGGGGCGTCTGACTTCAGACCCCATGCTCACAGCCATTGAGCAGACACCAGGGACAGCGCCATAAGGAGCTGGTTGAAGAGTGCACTGAGTTAAAAAGGAAGGGTCATCTTTGCCCTCTGAGGATAACATTGTAGCGGTGTCAACTTTTTTATTTTATTATTTATTTATTTAGTTTTGGAGATGGAGTTTCATTCTTATTGCCCAGGCTGGAGTGCAATGGCGCGCGATCTCGGCTCACTGCAACCTTGGCCCCCTGAGTTCATGCCATGCTCATGCCTTGGCCTTCCAAGTAGCTGGGACCACAGGCACCTGCCACTACTCCCAGCTAATTTTTGTATCTTTAGTAGAGGCAAGGTTTCACCATGTTGGCCAGGCTGGTCTCGAACTCCTGACCTCAGGTAATCTACCCGCCTCTGCCTCCTAAAGTGCTAGGATTACAGGTGTGAGGCACCACGCCTGGCCTATTTATTTATTTACTTATTTTTGAGACAGGGTCTCACTTTGTTGCCCAGGCTGGAGTGCAGTAGTGCAATCATAGCTTACTGTAACCTCGAAATCCTGGGTTCAAGAAATCCTCCCCCTTCAGCTTCTCCAGTAGCTGGGACTACAAGTGTGTGCCACCATGCCTGGCTACTTTTTTTTTTTTTTGTCGAGACAGGGTCTCACTGCTCCACAGGCTGGTCTCAAACTTTAAGCTCAAGCAGACCTCTCACCTCTCAATTTTATTTTTATGATACTTTTCACCATCTCTTACCCCTACATGTCATAGTTCAGAAATGTCTTGAAACTTGACTTTTTTTTTTCTTTAATGCAACTATAGCTAAAATATGTGAATTTGAGACTAAGTGGGGGAACTGTGAAATGTCAATGGTGGTTCAGGCTTCTGGAGTGGTATAGTAGTTTCCTTAACTGTAAAATGGTGACCAACGCAAGGCCCTTGCTTGTAGTAGGTGATCAACAGCTATGCTGAAGAATGAAGGCCCGGTTAGGTCCAGCACTCCAGCATATCCACAAGGTGGGGCATTTGGCCAGGACGTAGCTCCCTGAGCCCCCAGGTGGAAGAGTTGTGGCGAGGAGGGCAGACTTCAGGGCAGTCAACCTGGTGTCTTTTGAGACTACTCAGGCTCCTGCTGGAAGGATGGACAATCTTTGGAGGACCCAGCTTGGACTTTTCCCTGGCTCTGCTGCTCTGCCCATTGCCCAGCCTCTGGCTGTTGCCAGCTCTGCCTAGACCACCTGATCTGTCCACCTCCCTCCCAACAGAGAGCTGCTCTTCTTAGGGCCCTCTCCCTCCTCAGATGGCTCCTCCTGTGTCTCTCATCCAGGCTCTGGGTGATCAGGAGAATGTGTGGGGCTGTACATGATGATGGCCCTGATCAGAGCAGTGATGGCTGGGGACAGTGTCAGGGAGGGATGCTGGAGAAGGCTGGGTTTTGGGTGTCAAGGATCCTGGACCAAGAAGGGCTGCAATAGCAGCATTTCTCACTTCCTAATCTGTGTCTTGCAGAAGTGGCCGATGCGATCTCGTCTCTATGCTGGAGGCCTGGGGTACTCTGATCTTGACTCCACCACAGCCAGCACCCCTACCCAAAGAACAAGAGATGCAGAGGTGGGGTCCCAAGTCGCTGGAGAGGCAGGTGCTCTCCTTCCCACCACAGCACTCTCACCAGCTCTTGTTGACAAATAATTATCACACTCACCCTTTTCTCCTAAACTGTGACTCACTCATGCTTAGGGATCTGGATTTTCTGCCAGCCCCCACCTGTCTTCACTCTAATTCTCGGCCATCAAATTTGATTCAGACTCAGCTCCCAAGGTGCAGCATGCAGATCAAGAGAAGCAGTGGCACTTCTGTGACAGTACCCAGAGGACAGAGGATGGAGAGCTTCCTCCTTGGTCCCCAGGAGGGGACTTCCCCATGGCTCTTCTGTGACAGCTACTGGGAAGTGGGAGAGAAAGAGGTATAATTGGACTCAAAGTCGAGTTAGGGAACCATCCTAGCTTTCCTCCTCTAAGGTTTCTGCAAACCCTCTGCAGATAGCGAAAAGGCAGGTGCAGAGGGAGGGGCCTGGGATTGTACCAGCCCCAGGTGCTGATGGGAAAGCCAGGTGGCTGGATAGGCTTTTGGTAGCTGCAAGTGTAAACAGATCTGGGCTGGGTCACACAGCCAGAGGGGAAACTGAAGAAGGGTACTTTCTTTTTTTTTTAGAGGCAGGGTTTCACCATGTCGGCCAGGATGGTCTTTATCTCTTGACCTCAGGATCTACCCGCCTCAGCCTCCCAAAGTGCTGGGATTATAGGCATGAGCCACAGCACCCAGCCGGGAATGTGCTTTCTAACTGCATCACGAGGTGCTTACCGGATGTTAGAGAGGTAGTGAGAAATTCAGGATTCCTGCCTCTGTAGTATGGGCCTCTCCAGCAGCTGCCCCTCACCATTACATTTTCTCTCTCTTGGCTCCTGCTGCACTCTTCCACTCTTTTCTTTTCCTCTTGTTCTTCTTCCTCTTTTTTTTTTTTTTCGTAGAGATGGGGTCTTGATATGTTACCCAGGCTGGCCTTGAAGCCCTGGCCTCAAATGATCCTCCCACCCCAGCCTCCTAAAGTGCTGGGATTACAGGTGTAAGCCACCACACCCAGCGCCACTCTTGACTTGAGTTTTATCTACAGGTTAAGCCATAAATCTTAAATTGTTTAAATTCTAGTTTCCAGAGAAACTTAGATTGTCCCAGCTTTCTAGTTTGAGATCTTATCCTGCAGCAATTCTACCTTGATTGAACCAAGCAGCAATTTCTGGCCTTGCATATGAAGGATATTGAGACTTAATTACATCCTTGAAGACTCTTACAAGAAGAACAGGTGTATGTTCCATGGGGTAATCATTACAGTCTTCTCTTTCCATTATGTTAGGAACCTGACCTCAAGCAAAAACAAAATAGGCCTGCCTTCAACTCAACTGGCTCCTTGTAGAATTTGTGCTCGAGGCTTCCCTGGCTCTGGAGCTATGTCTACAGATTATCTACAAATTAGCTCCCTAGGGCCAGCTCCTCCCATGGAGATTGTCCTTGTTCAGGCTTTCTCTAAATGCTGCCCTGCGGTGCAAGAAATGTGATTCAGCTTCAGTGAAACTCATCTCTGGCCCTAAAGAAATAATTTGAGGCCTGGTGTGGTGGCTCATGCCTGTAATCCCAACACTCTGGGAGGCCGAGGCGGGCGGATCATGAGGTCAAGAGATTGAGACCATCTCGGCCAACATGGTGAAAACCCATCTCTACTAAAATACAAAAATTAGCTGGGCATGATGGCATATGCCTGTAGACCCAGCTACTTGGGAGGCTGAGGCAGGAGAATTTCTTGAACCCAGGAGGCGGAGGTTGTAGTGAGCCAAGATCGAGCCACTGCACTCCAGCCTGGCACCTGGCGACAGAGTGAGACTCTGTCTCAAAACAAAAAAAAAGAAAGGAAGAAAGAATTTGAGGACTAATAGAATCTACACACACTGAAAATAACTCCAGATCAGATGTAGCTTCAAACCTGGCACCTAAAGTCCAGACAGGGACCAATTACCTTTCTGTTAAATTTCAGCCCCTCAGAGTGGAAGGGGACGAGCATGGCCAACTAGAGTTCCAACAAGGTTGTCCTTAGACACATGCCATTGTTGTCATCATGAATGTAGCGAGCTCTGGGCAGTCTGGGAATGGTTGGGGTCTGGGTTCTAACACAGCAGGACCCTGTACCTCCATAGGGCTGGCCAGGCAGCGCTGAAATAGGGCTGGGGGTGCTACTGAACCAATTGGGGTAGAGGTAGAAAAAGAGACACAGAATGTCCCAGCCCCGAGCTGCATAGGATGTGGGAGAACAGCTGGAATGTGGCCGGGAGCCATGGGGAGAAGGCCTCAGCCAAGGCTGAACTCGTAAATCTGCCTGGAACCAAGCCTCTGCAGAGGGACCCTGAGGCTCTTGTGCAGAGCTGATGTGGGCAGCTGGACGGGTCCAGGCAGGGGCAGAGGCCAGGTGTGGGAGGGCATGAGCATAGTGTTCTTCACAAGACCATAAAAGTCCAGCTAGAATATACTATTTTTAAAGCCAAACAGCAGTATCTTCCTGGTTGAGTTCACGGGTGTAGTGGGAAGGGAAGCAGATACATTTCCTCTGCATTTGGTGGCACACACTGTTTTTCTAGGGATGAAGGGAAATTGGCTTAAGGTGTGTGTCGGGGTCACCGGACAGCATGGAGCTCCTGACAACAGGGTAGGCTTTGGTTTGCAGCTTGCCCCACCCTGCCCTGCTCAGACTCAGGCCTTTGCCTAGTGACATCAGAGCCTTCAGGGGTGATCACATGGCCCTGGTGAAGACAGGGAGGACACAGGAAGGAGGATGGAGGTGGAGGGCTGCAGGAGGCAGGGCCCATCACTGCAAGTTTCTCAGACAAAGCTGTTCTCCTTCCTGCCCAGGACAGTCCGAAGGCCATCTCCTCCAGGTTCAGAGACCAAGCTCTCTCAGGCCAACAAGCAAAGGGGCCTGTCCGGGCAGGGTGAGCCAAGGGAAGCCCCAGGGGATGCATAGGAATAACCAGCGGAGGGACTGGGCCCTCCCTCCCTAGCAAGCACAGTGATGCCCTTGAGACATGTCAGAACTTGGATACATGAATGCACCAGAACCAGGAGTAGACCCCTTTGTCTCTGCAGTGAGGAAAAAACAAAACAAACAACAAAAAAATCATGGCCAGGTACTGTGGCTCACACCTGTAATCCCAGCACTTTGGGAGTCTGAGGTGGCAGATCATCTGAGGTCAGGAGTTCAAGACCAGCCTGGCAAACATGGTGAAACCCTGTGCCTACTAAAAATACAAAAATTATCCAGACATGGTGGTAGGCACCTGTAATCCTAGCTACTTGGGAGGCTGAGGTAGGAGAATTGCTTGAACTCAGGAGATGGAGGTTGCGGTGAGCCGAGATGGCACCACTGCACTCCAGCCTGGGCAATAGAGCAAGACTCCATTTCAGGAAAAAAAAAGAAAGAAAAACACATGCTCACTGGGAGGCCTTCACTGCCAGCACAGTTGGGGAGCATGGGGCAGACAGGAGCAGTTGTAGGCTACTGAGATTTGGTTCCAACAACAGCTTTTATTCTCTAGGAACAAGGTATGTGGGAAAGAAGCTCTAAGAGAGAACAGGAAGCTAGATGCTCAAGTCTGTCATTTCAGCATTTTGGAAGGCCAAGCAGATCTCTCGAGCCCAGGAGCTTGAGACCAGCCTGGGCACAATAGTAAGATCTTGTCAAAAAAAAAAAAGAAAGAAAGACAAGACAGACAGAAGGAAAGAAAGACAGAAAGACAAGACAGACAGACAGAAGGAAAGAAAGAAAAAAGAAAGAAAAGAAAGAAAAAGAAAGAAAGAAAGAAAGAAAGGTAAGATTAGCCAGGTATAATAGCACTCCCCTGTAGTCTGAAATACTCAGGAAGCTGAGGTGGGGGGATCACTTGAGCCGAGGAGGTTGAGACTACAGTGAGCTGTGATTGTGCCACTGTATACCAGCCTGGGCAACACAGTGAGAAAGAAAAGAAAAGAAAACAAAAGAAAGAAGAAAGAAAGAAAGAAAGAAAGAAAGAAAGAAAGAAAGAAGAAAGAAAGAAAGAAAGAAGAAAGAAAGAAAGAAAAGAAAGAAAGAAAGAAAATAAGGAAAGAAAGAAAAAGAAGGAAGGAAGGAAGGAAAGAAAAGAAGGAAAGAAGAAAAAAGGAAGGAAGGAGAGAGGGAGGGAAAGGAAGGAAGGAAGGAGAGAGAGGGAGGGAAAGGAAGGAAGGAAAAAAAAGAGAAAGAAAGGTGGATTAAAACATTTGAGCATGGATGACAAATGATACTAGGGTGGCCTGGCTCAGGAGCTGGAGGCTCAGCTGCTCCACAGGGGACCTGCCCCATCCCCAGGACTTGGGATTGGGATGGAGGTAGAGGTGGAGAGCAAGACTTCCCTGCTGGCTCCCTCCACAGAGCATGTGCTTTCTGAGGAACAGAATGGCAGTGTGGAGGCTTAGCTAGGGCTGTGGGGCTGGGTGCAGTGGCTCATGCCTGTAATCCCAGTACTTTGGGAGGTTGAGGTGGGCGGATCAGCTGATCAGGAGTTCGAGACCAGCCTGGCCAACATGGTGAAATCCTATCTGTACTAAAAATACAAAATCAGCTGGCCATGGTAGTGCATGCCTGTAATCCCAGCTACTTGGGAGGCTGAGGCAGGAGAATCTCTTGAATGTGGGAGGTAGAAGTTGTGGTGAGCTGGGATCGTGCCACTGCACTCCAGCCTGGGCAACAAGAGTAAAACTCTATCTAAAAAAAAAAAAAGGAGGGGGCGGGCTGTGAGAGAAGCAGAGCTGGCCCCGTGATTTCTAAGTCTGACAGTGGACACTGGATTTTACCAATTTGGGAACTAGAGAAGTAGAAGATGTAGTCTTCTCTGAGACTTCTTCTCTCTTCCTTTGGGAGGAGCCTGGCTAGGGTGAGTCAGATGACACTGTCCTCTCCCTTGGCATGAGCCCTAAACCCAAGGCCCCTGACAGCTTATTCTATTCTAGATCAAGATAGGCAAACTATAGCCAGTGGGCCAAACCCAGCACCCCATGTATTTTTGTAAATAAAGTTTTACTGGAACACATCCACACTCGCATGTAAGTATTATTTATGACTGCCTTCCTGATAGCATTGCAGAGTCAAATAGCTGAGCTAGAGATGGAAAAACCTAAAATATTTACTCTCTAGCCCTTAACAGAAGTTTGCTAACTCCTGCTCCAGATAGGAGGTATTCAAAGTATGGTCTAGGAACCCTGGGGGTTTCTGAGGCCCTTAAGGTGGTCTAAGTGACCAAAACTATTTTGATAGTTTTGTATTTTTAGGCCACAGGTGGTGGCTCACACCTGTAATCCAGCACTTTGGATGGCAGAGGCAAGTGGATCTCTTGAGCCCAGGAGTTCAAACCAGCCTGGACAATACGGCAAAACTAAAAATACAAAAATTAGCCAGATGTGGTGGCACACGCCTGTAATTCCAGCTAGTTGGCCTGTAATCCCAGCTGGGGATGAGAATCGCTTGAACCCAGGAGGCGGAGTTTGCAGTGAGCCAAGATGGTGCTACTGCATTCCAGCCTGGCCGACAGAGTGAGACTCTATCTCAAAAAAACAGGCCTGACATAGTGGCTCATGCCTGTAATCCCAGCACTTTGGGAGGCTGAGGGGGGCGGATCATCTGAAGTCAGGAACTTGAGACCAGTCTGACCAACATCGAGAAGCCCCAAGTCTACTAAAAATACAAAATTAGCTGGGCATGGTGGCACATGCCTGTAATCCCAGCTACTCAGGATGCCGAGGCAGGAGAATCACTTGAACCCTGGAGGTGGAGATTGCAGTGAGCCAAGATTGCACCATTGCACTCTAGCCTGGGCAGCAACAGCAAAACTTCATATAAAAAAAAAATTAAAACTTTCTTTTTTTTTTGAGATGTAGTTTTGCTCTTGTTACCCAGACTGGAGTGCAATGGCATGATCTCGGCTCACCACAACCTCTGCCTCCTGGGTTCAAACAATTCTGCCTTAGCCTCCTGAGTAGCTGGGACTACAGGCGTGCACCACCATGCCCACCTAATTTTTGTATTTTTACTAGAGATGGGGTTTCATCTTGTTGACCAGGATGGTCTGGATCTCTTGACCTCGTGATCCACCTGCCTAGGCCTCCCAAAGTGCTGGGATTATAAGCGTGAGCCACCGCGCTCAGCCGAATTAAAACATTTTTTTAAAAGCCCCCCCAAAGTCAGCTGGGCTTGGTGGTATACACATGTAGTCTCACCTACTGGAGAAGCTGAGATGGGAGCGTCATCTGAGCCTGGGAGGTCGAGGCTGTAGTGAACCGTGTTCTTACCACTTCTCACCACTGCACTTCAGCCTCGGCAACGGGAGTGAGACCCCGTCTCAAACAAACAAAAAAGAAGCTATTTGTGTTTATTACTCTTACCCTCTCAAGGGTGTGGTGGAATTTTCCAGAAGCCACATGACGTGATATTGCAACAAATGGAATGAAGAAGCAGATAAGAGACTCCAGTCGTCAATTACAACAGACATTAAAGATATTTGCAAAAAATGTAAAGCACTGCCAGTGCACTAAATATTTTCTTCTTATATAGAAAATAATATTGCGGCTGGGCACAGTGGCTCACGCCTATAATCTCAGCACTCTGGGAGGCCGAGGTGGGTGGATCACCCGAGGTCAGGAGTTCAAGACCAGCCCGGCCATCATGGTGAAATCCCATCTTTAAAATAAAATTTTAAAAAAAATTGCATCAAAATGTTATATGTGTTCACATAAAATGGGTTAATTAATTAGTGTTATTTTAAAATAAATATTTTTTAAAATTCTCTATTGTAATTTATAACATAATGGCTATGGATAGATATAACCCACATAAGCAAAAGCTCTTCGAGGTCCTACTTTTTTTTTTTTAAGAATGTAAGGAGGTCCTGAGAACAAAAATTATAAGAACATCAACTCTAGAATAGCTCACTGATGGTGGAGGAAAGCCCCTGGCCTGCCTGTCTGTTCACAAAGTACTGAGGCAGCTTTACCTGCCCAGAGTCAGAGGACTGGGGGGAGTGCCTGGCACAGTGAGGACAGAGGTGGGGTCCTGAGTCAACATCACAGGGAGGTCTCCTGGAGGTTGCAGGTGAGGCTGCTCCCCCGATGGACAGTGCCGTCCAGGGCCATGGCCTCCTTATCTCTGCTGTCCCCCAGCACATTATTCTTCAGCTTCTTGGGACACAGGTGGTGTCCAGGAAGTGGTCCTGCAAACACAGAGCAAAGAGAGTGGAGCTGGTGAAGATGAATTATGATAGGTGGTGATGGGAATTCATGACAGAAAAGGTCCCTGCTAGAAGGGAGCCCAGCAAGGCTGGGTGGGGGAGGGAGAGCAGGGGAAAGATGAGGGAGAGCACAGCACAGTGGGGAGCTCAGGGAGGGCTGGGGAGGGCAGCTGACCGCCCAGCTCTGGGCTGAGCTCCTCTGAGCCCTGAGATCCTTCTGCCCTGGAAGCCAGTGTATCACCTATGGGTAGAAGCTGAGACAGCCATGTGGGACAGTCCAGGCTTAGCTGATCCTGAGAGAGAGGGGCACCGAAGGAAGGGGGAGAGAAAAGGGGTGGAAGGGAACCTGCAGGGTCAGCATCTGCAGAGAAGGGCAGGGAGGGGTCACTTGGACAGCAGGTACTACCTGGCTGTGGCTCCCAGAGTGGAGCCGCTTCTGACAGGACAAGGGCAGGAGGGCCAGGAGCTTCAGCCATACTGGGTAAATGGTCGCAGGGTTCAGGGACCGGCCCCACATTCCTCCTGAAGGCAGAGGTGCTTCTGAGTCTCTGTGTGGAACCATCCACAGCAGCGGACCTGTGTCCTCCCTTGGGCTGCAGAGGCCCCAGCCCCCACCATCCTCCTACATCCCAGCAGAAAAGCCTGACAGCCATGCACACCGAAGAGCTCAGAGGGCAGGAGCCTTTCTCCCTAGATGGTAGAGTCTAGAGTCCCGAGGGCTCTCCCATAGACCCTCAGTTCTCATCTGCACTGCAATCCCACACCCTCACCCCCACCCTCTCCCATGCTCTCCCCCACACCCTCACCAATGAGCAGATTCCAGGTCCTCCAACCTCCACAGGGCTGCCTGTCAGCTGTAGCCCCACAGGCCCCAGCTAGGAAGTGGCCTCCAAAAGAACTGCCACCTTCCCAGCTTTGTGGATGGTTAGCCCTGGGGTATCTGTGGCCTCTTGGTAGACTTGGAGTTTCCTACTTACTCTACTTCCCCGACCTCTGTGCTCCAGGCTGCTTTGGGAATGCAGTATGCCTTCCCTCTCCTGGATTCTACCTCCCAAACTTTGCTTTGGGAGAGAAAGCTTGATCCCCTACACAGCAAGAGGGTCAGCTGCTGAGCAGCAAAACAGAGGACAAGGGCCCACTCCAGGGTTCTGAGTAACCCCAGGAGATACTTAAAAGAGGTAGGAGCTGAGCGCAGGTGAGACACTGGGGAGAGAAGAGGAACTAAGGGCCTTTGCCATTAAATACGCCAGAAGTTACGTAGGGCCAAAGACGATTGCTTTTTTTTAACCTTGGAAAAGTTACCAAAAAGTATGATCCAGTAATCAAATAGAAACAATCCTCCACGTTGATGATGGTGGAAGCAGAAAAACAAGTTGAGTAAATTGGTTCATCCTAAATCACTTGGCATTTGTATCATGCTTTAGCGGCTCAGCAGTTCTGGGTCCAGGCCCAGTTGGATGAAAATGGATTGTCTTACTCTGTTCTCATGCTGCTAATAAAGATGTACTCAAGACTGGGTAATTTAATAAGGAAAGAGCTTTAATTGTCTCACTGTTCCACAAGGCTGGAAAGGCCTTGGGAAACTTACAATCATGGCAGAAGGGGAAGCAAACACGTCCTTCTTCACATAGTGGCAGCAAGGAGACGTGCAGAGCAAAAGCAGAAAAAGCCCTTATAAAACCATCAGATCTCAGCTGGGCATGGTGGCTCATGCCTGTAATCCCAGCACTTTGGGAGACCAAGGCAGGTGGATCACCTGAGGTCGGGAGTTGGAGACCAGCCTGACCAACATGGAGAAACCCCATCTCTAAAAAAAAAAAAAAAAAAAAAAAAATCATCAGATCTCATGAGAACACACTCACTATCATGAGGGTAACTGCTCTCATGATTAAATTACCTCCCACCGGGTCCCCCTCTCATGACACATGGGATTATGGGAACTACAATTGAGGATATTTGGGTGGGGACACAGCCAAACCATATCACAGATTCTATGTCACATATCAGCTAACTGCATGATGGCTGGCTGGGCGCTGAAGCTCTGGGGTCCTTGAGAAGGAATAGGTACACTCTTAAAATTTTTTGAGACAGAGTTTCTCTCTTGATGCCCAGACTGGACTGGAATGGTGCAATCTTGGCTCACTGCAACCTCTGCCTCCCGAGTTCAAGAATTCTCTTGCCTCAGCCCCCCAAGTAGCTGGGATTACAGGTGTGCACCACCACACCCAGCTAATTTTTTATTTTTAGTAGAGCCTAGGTTTCACCATGTTGACCAGGCTGGTCTGAAACTCCTGATCTCAGGTGATCCACCCGCCTCAGTTTCCCAAGTGCTGGGATTATAGGTGTGAGCCACTGTGCCCTGCCTTAGGAACAGGTGCACTCTTTGTAAAGCTTTTGAATAGGGCTGGGTGAGGGAAGCAGCCATAATTGATGCACTCACAACAGGAGAATAATATAAAACTATCAAGCTCTTACATGCTCTGGGAAGAAGTGTAGTAAGGTAAACCAGAAGTTGAAGTAAAGCTCTGTTAAAAAACAAAAACAAAATAACAAAAAAACTTGGGGCCGGGCGCAGTGTTTCACGCCTATAATCCCAGCACTTTGGGAGGCCGAGGTGGGTGGATCATGAGGTCAAGAGATTGAGACCATCCTGGTCAACAAGGTGAAACCCCATCTCTACTAAAAATACAAAAATTAGCTGGGCATGGTGGTACGTGCCTGTAATCCCAGCTACTCGGGAGGCTGAACCAGGAGAATTGCTTGAACCCAGGAGGCGGAGGTTGTGGTGAGCCCAGATAGTTCCATTGCATTCCAGTCTGGCTAACAACAGTGAAACGCCATCTCAAAAAAAAAAAAAAAAACTTGGTACAAACCACAGTGCTTAAAATATTTAAATAACAACAACAACAACAAACACTTGGCTTTATGCCTTTCAGGGAGACATAAGGCATCATGTAAGATGTACACTGGTTCATAAATCTTAATATCTGGGATTGAACAAAAGAACTGACATTCAAAAAGGAAATGTTTCTCAGCAAGGCAAATTTACTTCTGCAGAAGGGTGCTTCTTGCATACACAGCAGTGGCAAGGGCACCCTGAACAAAGGAAAGCAGGGGTTTTTATTTTCCTAATGCAGTCCTGGTTTCTGTGTCCTCCCCTGTGAGCTGGGGTTGGACTGCACAATCTAAACTGATCCCAATTGGCTAGAGTTAACATTTTTCCTAAATAAGGGAGGGATGTTGGCTACAGGTTTCCTAAATAAGGGGAGGGTAACGTGCAGAATAGGGCAAAGAATGGAAAGTTTACTCTTTGTACCTAACAACTTACAGTAAGGCAGAGTGGGTCACTTACAAGCAGCATGCCTGGGCATGTTAGAGGCAGGAAAAATTACTTATAGAATAGAAAAAAGGGCTGGGCATGATGGCTCATCCCTATAATCCCAGCACTTTGGGAGGCCAAGGTGGGCAGATCACAAGGTCAGGAGATCAAGACCATCCTGGCTAACATAGTGAAACCCCATCTCTACTAAAGTTACAAAGAATTAGCAGGGCATGGTGGCATGCACTTGTAGTCCCAGCTACTCGGGAGGCTGAGTCAGGAGAATAGCTTGAACCTGGGAGGCGGAGGTTGCAGTGAGCCGAGATCGTGCCACTGCACTCCAGCCTGGTAAGAGAGACTCTGTCGGAAAAAAAAAAAAAAAAGACTAGAACAAAGGACAAGGGGAGTAAAACCCTTTGAAGAGAAACTGTTGGCTCCCAACAGTTTGGTCCAGAAAGGCAGGGCAACTAGAAGCTGGTGGGCGGTTTCCAGGTCATAGGTAGATGTAAATGTTTTCTGATTGGCAATTGGTTAAAAGAGTTAAGTTACTGTCTAAAGGCTTAGGAATGTCCAGGTTGGAATAAGGGTTTATAGAGACCAGGGCTTTATGATACGGGTGAAGCCTCCAGGTCTCAGGCTTCAGAGTGAGTAGATTGTAAATGTTTCTTGACTATGTTCTATCAGTAAATCCAAAAGGGAGGAGGGCATCTTGAGGCATGTCTGAATCCCCTTCCCATCATGGCCTGAACTAGGGTTTCAGGTTAACTTTGGAATTCCCTTTACAGACAGGTGGAGTCCATTCAGACGGCTGGGGGTTTAGACTTTTATTTTTGGTTTACAGTGGGAAGTGAGGTCAGACATGCCTTGTTATACCCTCCTCCCTTTTGGTATTTAGGCACAACTGACCAGCAGTGTGGTTAAAATAGAAATAATAAGCAGGCAAAAGAGAGTTTTCTCCCAGGTAGTAAACAAAAGTAAAAAAAGTAAAAAAATAAAAATAAAAAGAGTTTTTGTGGCAATAAGATATCAAATTTTGAACAAGAATCTAATAACCAGGCCAAATTGGAGGAAAAATAGAATTTCCAGAAATTAAAAATGTGATATTTTAATTAAAGACTCAGTGGATGATTAGAAACTGCTAGAGGCCATTAGAAACTGCTAGAGGCTAGGCCGGGCATGGTGGCTCACGCCTGTAATCCCAGCACTTTGGGAGGCCGAGGCGGGCAGATCACGAAGTCAAGAGATTGAGACCATCCTGGTCAACATGGTGAAACCCCTTCGCTACTAAAAATAAAAAAAATTAGCTGGGCATGGTGGCGCGCGCCTGTAGTCCCAGCTATTTGGGAGGCTAAGGCAGGAAACTGCTAGAGGCCATGCAAGGCAAGGGTTAAATCACAGCCAACAAATAAAATCTCATTAACTGGGCTTTTAAAATTAACCCAATATACTATGGCTTACTTTCCAACCTGACTCTGGCTTAGTGCCACATGGCAGATAACAGACCCTGAAGGAAATAGAAATATTTTACTCCAAAATATATTTGTTTGGCATATTTTGAAATGGCCCTGCAAAGCTGTCTTTTGTGGGGGAAGCTTGTATCTGTAAAGAATCTCCATTAATGCAGCCAGGCCTTCCCTTTCTAGGCCTTTCCAAGATCTAGGTGCAGAGACCAGCTCGGCCATTGAGACCCCAACCCAGGTGGCACTGAAGGAATTAAGAAACAGACCATGAGATAGAGTGTAAAGATGAGAGATCAGGGGGCTGACAGCCTTTCCAGCTGAAAGCCCAGAGCAGACTCTGACCCATGAATTTATTCTTTACAGCCCAGTGCAAGTTTAACAAGTAGATGCTCTGTGTTCTTTCATAGGTTAAAGATAAACTAACCAGGCAGCTATTGTATGTTCACTATAGGTTAAAGATAAAATAGAAAGCATTCTTTACGGGGAAACAATGGAGGCAGAGTTACATATCTTGTGTCGAAAGAACTAATTCATCTGGTGTGAGACATATACATATTGTTTCCTGTTTTATAATGCTTTGAGCAGTTTTCTGCTTTTGGGGGGCTGACTAGGTTTTCTTTGCCTAGTGATAGATTAGGTACGTTTTCTCAGCAAACAATATGATACACTACACATGTCAGAACTGGGAGAGATTAACTGAAACGGGACTTTTAAAAATCTGAAAAGAGACATTTACCATCTATTCTTTCTGAGGGCTGCCACCTGTGAGGCTTCATCTGCATAAGAAGTGCCTTGGCACCCATGATTCCTTTTTTATTTGTTGTTGTTGCTTTTATTTATTTATTTATTTTTTTAGACAGAGTCTTACTTTGTTGCCCAGGGTGGAGTGCAGCAGCAGGATCCCGGCTCACTGCAACCTCTGCCCTTCAGGTTCAAGGGATGCTTGTGCCTTAGCCTCCCAAGTAGCTGGGATTACAGGCATGTACCACCACACCTGGCTGATTTTTGTAGTTTTAGTAGAGAAATGGTTTCACCATGTTGGCCAAGCTGGTCTTGAACTCCTGACCTCAATGATCCACCTACCTCAGCCTCCAAAAGTGCTGGGATTACAGGTGTGAGCCACTGTGCCCAGCCTGACCCTCTTAACTCAAGCATTCTTCTATTGTTGTTGTTGTTTTTATAGCCATTTTCAGGGACCTTAATGGCTTCCATGTCCTTAGGCTTGTAACATGGCTTTGCTATTGCCAGTTTTTAAAGTATGTCTGCACAAACACAATGAGGTAGGTAGATTCACTGGCTGGCTTAAGCATTCTTTTCTACTGACTTCAAGTCTTTAAGCAATTGCCTAACTCTCTTAACCATCGATTAAATAATTTTTTTTTTTAAATAGATATGGGGTTTCTCCATGTTGGTCAGGCTGGTCTTGAACTCCCAACCTCAAGTGATCTGCCCACCTCAGCCTCCCAAAGTGCTGGGATTACAGGCATGAACCACTGCACCCAGACCAAATAAATAATTTCCAAAACCCACCTATGACTTGCAAGCTCCCACTTCAAGATGTCCCAACTTTTCAGGCCAAACCAATGTATGCCTTTCGTGTGTTGATTTATGTCTTTGCTTGTAACTCCTGTCTCTCTAAATGTATAAAACCAAGTGTAACCTACTCCTCAGTCGCACTTTCTCAGGACCTCGTGAGACTATTTCCCTGGCCATGGTCACTTACATCAGCTCAGAATAAACCTCTTTAACATATTTCACAGACTTTGTTTTTTTTCTGTTTACAAGCCAATACTCAGGCTATATTTGGGGCTGGGGGCTTTTTGCTTTATCTCTTTTGGATCCGGTTTCTGAGATTTTTTTTTTTTTTTTTTTTTTGAGATGGAGTTTTGCTCGGTTTCCCAGGCTGGAGTACAATGGCACGATCTTGGCTCACTGCAACCCCCACCTCCCAGGTTCAAGCAATTCTCCTGCCTCAGCCTCCCAGATAGCTGGGATTACAGGTCACCACCCCTGGCTAATCTTGTATTTTCAGTAGAGACAGGGTTTCTCCATCTTGGTCAGACTGGTCTCGAACTCCTGACCTCAGATGATTATTTTGCTGATAAAAATGTAAAACTTAATTGGCTTTTTAGAAAGCTTAAAATCGTCCCAAATTGACTCCTCTAAGATTTGTTCTTCCATTTCCTGCCACTTCTGCTCTTCTATAACCCACACTCTGTAGCTCAACAATGTGTAGCCAATCATTAATCAATGTTATTTCTGTGAACTAGTGAGAATTCCCCATGAACAACTTTGTATCAGCCCGCTCCTTGTTCCCTTTCTTGCCTTTAAAAATCTGCTTGTGGCTGGTCCGTGGTGTTTACAACTAATTGATCACAACCAGTTACAGATTTCTTTGCTCCTTCTCCACTAGTACTGTTTCACTTGACTAGCCTTGAAAAAAGAAAAACTTGCTTGTAACAAAGGCCCAAGCCAACACCCATTTCTGACACTATGGCAGACTAGATGTGCAGAGAAACTCTCCTGGTACAGAACTCTCAAAATGATGGCTAAAATCATAAAAACATATTTATAAATGTGTTGCTGGGCTGGCAGAAAAGTAAGGAAAAAGAATAAGAGAAAGAATAAGGAAGCACACAAAATAAACACAAAAACAAACAAATAAAAAAACAAAAAAGAATAAGGAAGCACATAACCAGAAATGGTAAGCCAGCACTCAAGTCAGTGCTGCCTTGTGATATCTGCAAATTCCTGATGCCCAAGGCCTGGGTCTTAACAGGCTACACCTGGGGACAGGAGACAATGCCTAGGGACCATTCAAAGTGGAAAGTCGGGCCAGCGGTGGCTCACACTTGTAATCCAGCACTTTGGGAGGCTGAGGCGGGTAGATCACGAGGTCAGGAGTTCCAGACCAGCCTGGCCAATATGGTGAAACCCCATCTCTATTAAAATACAAAAATTAGCCCAGCATGTTGGCACATCTGTAATCCTGGCTACTCGGGAGGCTGAGGCAGGAGACTAGCTGGAACCTGAGAGGCAGAGGTTGTGGTAAGCCAAGATATGCCATTGCACTCCAGCCTGGGCAACAAGAGAGAAACTCTGTCTCAAAAAATAAAAAGTGATAAATTATACTGCATAAAGTTAGGAGCACCTATTCATCACAAGATACCATTGAGAGAGTGAAAAAGACAAGTTCACAGACTGGGAGAAGATATTATTTGCCATATAATTCACATATTTAAAGGTGCTTCTATCAAGAATATATTAAAAATCCCCATAGAGCAATAAGACAAGGACTGATAATTCAGTATTAAATGGCTAAATGGCTTAGAAACACACCTTTTTTTTTTTTTAAGAGACAGGGTCTCTCTCTGTCACCCAGGTTGAATGGCATCATAGCTCACTACAACCTCGACCTACTGGGCTCAAGGGATCCTCCTGCCTCAGTCTCCTAAAGTGCAGGGATTACAGGTATGAGCCACTGCACCTGGCCTTGGTCAGGCACCTTTCTAAAGAGGCTATCCAAATGGCTGAACGTGCTCAACTTCATTAGTTATTAGAAAATTGCAAATTGAAGTCTTAGGGTACTACAACACACTCACCAGAATGGTTAATATCTGTATCTGTTAAATCCAGAGGGTTTTTGTTTTGTTTTGTTTTTAACTGAAGTTTATAGTTATACCATGTTCAGAAAATCCAGGGTATAAACATGCCTAGGGCTGGGCCCAGTGGCTCACGCCTGTAATCACAGCATTTTGGGAGGCTGAGGTGGGTGGATCACCTGAGGTAAGGAATTTGAGACCAGCCTGGCCAACATAGAGAAACCCCGTCTCTACTAAAAATACAAAAAATTAGCTGGGCATTGTGGTGCATGCCTGTAATCCCAGCTACTCGGGAGGCTGAGGCAGGAGAATTGCTTGAATCTGGGAGGTGGAGGTTGCAGTGAGCCGAGATCATGCCACTGCACTCCAGCCTGGATGACAGAGCAAGATTCCGTCTCAAAAACAAAACAAACAAAAAAACCACACCTACCAACAAAAATGAGTCCACACGTCGTCAAAAGATATACATGAGAGCACTCATAACAGCATTATTTGTAATAGCCCCAAGTTAGAACCCTGCATTTGTGTTTCCTATGGCGCTGGGGCTGAGGTTCTGCAAACCACTTTCTGCTTTGCCAGCTGGCACTTCCCTGGGCTCCACCAATAGAGGGTGCTAGAGGAAGTCCGAAAGATGAGGAGGGAGCAGGGATTTGCTGCTGCTTTTTTCTTTTCTTATTTTTCCTTTTCCTTTTTTTTTTTTTTTTCTAGACAGAGTTTAGCTCTTGTTGCCCAGGCTGGAGTGCAGTGGTTTGATCTAGGCTCACCACAGCCTCCGCCTCCCAGGTTTCAAGCAATTCTCCTGCCTCAGCCTCCTGAGTAGCTGGTACTACAGGCATGCACCACCACACCTGGCTACTTTAGTTTTTTGTTTTTATGTTTTTTTTTTTGAGATGGAGTTTCGCTCTTGTTACCCAGGCTGGAGTGCAATGGCGCGATCTCGGCTCACTGCAACCTCCGCCTCCTGGGTTCAGGCAATTCTCCTGCCTCAGCCTCCTGAGTAGCTGGGATTACAGATGCGCACCACCATGCCCAGCTAATTTTTTATATTTTTAATAGAGACGGGGTTTCACCATGTTGACCAGGATGGTCTCGATCTCTTGACCTCGTGATCTAACCGCCTTGGCCTTCCAAAGTGCTGGGATTATAGGCTTGAGCCACTGCGCCTGGCTACTTTAGTATTTTTAGTAGAGACGGGGTTTCTCCATGTTGGTCAGGGTGGTCTAGAACTCCTGACCTCAGGTGATCCGCTGGCCTCGGCCTTCCAAATTGTTGGGATTACAGGCGTAAGCCACCACACCCAGCCTGGGAGATTTGCTTCTTGCAGTTTGCTTCTTGCGCCCCTGTCAGGGTGGCAACAGCTCTTTAATTCGGCAGCCCCACTTGGTTCAAGTTTCCAACATTTTCCCATTCTCAGAACCAGCCTTGGCTGGGCACGGTGGTTCATGCCTGTAATCACATGCAGCTCTGTGCTCTGAAGTCTGAGTTCCACCTCTGCAGGGTTCCTCCAAGCTTCTAGGTTCCAGTAACTCCCACCTTTTTCTTTCGTGAACTCCCACCGCTCTGGGGTGGTAACTGCGTCCTTTGGTTGCTGCCTCTGTGTTCCTTGGGATTTCTCTTTTGCCTTTGCAGTCCTTATGAAAAATTCCCTCTGCTGTAATAACTGGTGTGGTTTTTATGGTCCTAGTTAAACCCTGACTCATACAACAGCCCAGATAAGATTCTTTTGACATATCACCTATTTCTGGACTGGGATACAGTATTACTTCCCAGTTCTTACTTTTAATTTATTTTAATTTTTATTTTGAGCGGGGGGTCTTGCTCTGTTGCCCAGGCTGGAGTACAGTGGCACAATCAGTTCACTGCAGCCTCAAATTCCTAGACTCAGGGCATTCTCCCACCTCAGCCTCTCAAGTAGCTGGTACTATAAGTGTGTGCCAACATGCCCAGTTACCTACCTTTTAAGTAGGAAATCTGAGGGCTTCGACCGTTTGCAGATCCTCACAGCCTTGCTTGGTTGATTGTCCTTGGCATCTTGGCATGGTTACAGACACAAATCAGAGCCAGAGAGAGCCGAGTGTCTTGGGTGTGACTGTTTGCCACAAGGACAGCTAGGGTCAGACCAATCTTTTTTTTTTTTTTGAGACGGAGTTTTGCTCTTGTTGCCCAGGCTGGAGTGCAATGGCTTGATCTTGGCTCACTGAAACCTCTACTTCCTGGGTTCAAGTAATTCTCCTGCCTCAGCCTCCTGAGTAGCTGGGATTACAGGTATGTGCCACCACACCTGGCTAATTTTGTATTTTTAGTAGCGATGAGATTTCTCTATGTTGGTCAGGCTGGTCTTGAACTCTCAACCTCGGGTGATCCACCTGCCTCGGCCTCCCAAAGTGCTGGGATTATAGGCGCAAGCTACTGCACCTGGGGTCAGGCCAATCTTTATGAACACGGTAACTGCTGGACGTTTTTTCTCTCCTGCGAATGTGCATGGGAACAGTAGTGTCTTTCCTAGAGTCTTCATGACCCTCCCCAGTTGCTGGGGCTTGAAAGTTGTTGGAGCTTGGAACTTGAAAGTTTCCAGCTCCAGAGGCACTTTTTTTTTTTTTTTTAGGACAAGGTGTTGCTCTGTTGCCCCCAGGGTGCAATCACAGCTCACTGCAGACTCAACCTCCCAGGCTCAAGTGATCCTCCTACCTTAGCCTCCTGAG